CCATTCTGTGATTCTATGCTCAGTATATAAGTTGGGATGTTGGATCAGGGGTGGGATAGCTCTTTCCGGCTCTGGCTCTTGGTCGGTCGGCAGATAGTAAGTGGTTTATCACTTGTATCCATTATTTTCATTATATACTGTTGGCATTGTTAGTGTTATGGGTATCATTATTTAATTTACATTCAGTTATTAAACTGTTCTTATCTCATCAGCCCACAAGCTTCTTTGTCTTTTCCTCTGATTCTCCTCCTCCACTGGAGAATGGATGGAGGTGAGTGAGTGGCTGTGTGATGCTTAGTTGCTGACTGGGATTAAACCACAATACCTTGCTTTCTCTCTACTTTATTCCTGAAGTGCTAGCATTTGGTAGGGTTCATTTTTAACGTTGAATATCTTTTCAGTAATCAACAGAGGTTCTTACACTGATAGGGCTACCCTTTCCCAAGTGTGCTACATGGCAGTCAGCTTTCAGTTCTAGTGTTCCTTGCAACCCAGAAAGGAACTAGTTATTTTATGCCTAACAGAACTTACTAATCCTAGTTTACCATGGATCTGTACTGTATTTCCATGCATTGCTTCACTAAAACATCCCCAGCTTTACTCCCACCGCAGCATGTCATCATCCTTCCATGGCCATACTCTACTTGTTGTCCAAATGATTTAAATTCCTCTTACCAGACTCCAGTATTCACAGTCCAGCTATGAGGTGTGCAAAAAGCAGCATGTACTGGCTCTATACTGTATTAGACACAAGATGTGGCCTAAATTTCCACTGTAACCTTTCTTGCTGCGTGGCAGTATTCTGTTGCTTCCTCTCCAGCCATCTCTCTCTATCCATGAGATTTAACTTCATGGAATAACGTGTTTCAGAAAAGCCAAAGACAGATAAATGCAGCAAGCTGTACCTGCTCATCTCTTTTTCTCTGCTCCTGCCAATTTTCTTCCTGAGAGTCCTTCTGCGTCGCAGTGTGCAGTTTTTGTTCATGCTGAGACTGACAGCCTCCGTGTGATGACTTCTGGGGAATCTTTTTAAAAGCAAGGTTTCTGAGCTGAAAAAGAGTTATCCTTAACGTCAGTCGAAATGTTGACAAGCATGAATAAACAGCCTTAATGGATTAACAAAAGCATTCAGACACATGTGCCAATGAGACATGCATGTGCTTTACCTTCCTCTGTAGTTCGGGCTTCATTTTTGTTCTGTCATTTATGGTACACACCATAATGTAAGATTATGGAAAACTGTGGATCAGCCACATAACATAAAACAATTAAAAAATAAATATAGCTTGCCAGCTGAAAATACTTTCAACAAATCTGAAGAGATAACTGTCCAACGGCTTCCATGCTGGATCAAGTACTGTGGTGTGCTCATGCCTGACCCAAATTAAGTATCAGTGCCAAAGAAAAGGTGGATTTTGTATCAGCAGAGAGAGGAACTAGAGATCTAGGTAGAAAAAGTAACAACGCAGATGGACCTCACAGTCTGTCAGCAACCTAAAGTTGGTCACATTTTAAGAACCTGCAGTAAGAATTACTTTTAATTGCTGCACCATATGGATGCCACAGCGCCATCTTAAAAATACATCATTCTGAAGTTTGATAGTGAACAAATAACCTGCGAATCTGGCAGCTCAAAGACATTCACTGCTGAAGCCTAAACATGAATGGACGCTCTGGTCCTTACTTGGAGTGAAATAAAGGCACCAAAGCAATCTACTGTCAATGTAGAGACAGGGTTCTCCTTAACATAAAGGTTCCTGGAAGGGAGAAAGCAGCTGTTATCAGATGAAAGACGGAACAAAGAGAAACGAAGTACAATTAGCAGTGTTCTCCTTACTGTGTGTTTACCGAGTGTCATGGCAGCTCACCTTAGCTTAAAGTTACTTAAAATCAGGCAATTGTGCGGATACTTCAGCGTTGTTTTCCTTCCCCTCTGAACAGTCCCTTGCCATACAGCCTTTTGCTTTGCTACCGTCTTCCCTGCTACCTGCACCAGCACTACAACCCCTGCGTCAGAGTACAGTGCGGGCAAGAACATTGGAGCAGACCACTCTGATTTATGACTTCAGTGGGGTGTAGCCACAGGCGCAGTACGTGCCGGGGTGAAGAAAATGAGTCAGCCCTTACTTACTCCTGCGACAGCAGAGGTGCACGTATCACTTCCATGCAAATGCATTTCTGTGGATACAGGCAATGCACATGCATACATGCTATTATTTTGATGGCGTTAACCATTTTGATGGTGTTAAGGCAGGCATAAAGGAACATCAGGGTATGCTTATGGAAAACTTAATCTTCAATATAAGAAAGGAACAGCAAAGCTGAAAAAAAAATCACTTAGCATTAGCGCAGCTACTAAATTTCAAGGATTTTAGGTTTAATAGATACTAAAAGAAAAAAAAAAAGATGGGTTTGGGGGTTGTTTGTTTTACACACTAAATTTGATACAACATACGTATAGTTTCATACAGAAATGCTACGTCAGATGAGTTGTCAGACAACGTGCTGGTTTTAGCTGGGGCAGAGTTAAATTTTCCTCCTAGCAGCTAGTACGAGGCTTTGCTTTGGATTTGTGCTGAGAGGAATATTGGTAACACGCTATTGTTTTCAGTTGTTACTAAGGAATGGTTACATCAGGGCAATAACTTTTTCAGCTGCCGATACTGCACCTGTATTCCCGGCTTCTTCTCTACAAGAAGCTGGGAGAGTGCACATCCCAGTACTTGGCTGCTTACTGGGGCTAAACCACAACACGCACCAATCTAGAATTCCAGTTCCAGTAGGTAGGCCTAAATGACTCCTAAACACAAGAAAAATAACAACCTTGAAAGCTCCTTTGAATTTTTAACATGCTGGCTACCCAAGCAAGCAACTAGAACTGACTACCTAAAAACCACTGAAAACAAGTTGCTTCCTAGCAATCACTTTCCAGAAAGGTCATTCCCTTTGTCAGGAATTAATTATTCAGGTGGTGCTGTCAAGAAAGTAAACCCTAGCAATTTATCCGTATTAAAAATCTTCAACTTGTATAGTAGGGAGTGTCCTAATTTTATGTTAAAGAACACTTAGTACAGCAAGGAAAATAATGCAGTCAGTGTGACTAAGTAACATTTGTTTCATTAAAAAAATAAACACCAGTGACCTGTCAGGGACAGCAAGAGTTATTTATCAGACAACAACCTTACCCACTACTGAAAATATAATCCCTTTACCTCGATGGCCTCACGCCGCTGCTGTTCTTTCTTTTCTCTCCTTTTCTTTCTTTTTTTCTCCTTTAGAGAGGATCTTCCCCCTGAAGCCTGAGATTTATGGGCACCTCGGCTACTTCTTCCTTTTCCAGGCTTTGAATCAGTATCGCTTTCAACTTGTAGTAAAGCGAAACGAGATGCAGTGGTAGGCACTAAACTGGCGTTAGACGCCATTGCCACATCTGAAATTCTGCTGAGATGGCTTCTCTTAAATTGTTAGATTTCCTAGGAAAGTGGCATAGAAATAAAAACGAAGACAATGTTTGACCAAGCAACCAATAATTCATATCTGTTAGTGGCAAAACTAGTATAAAATAACCCAAAACTCTCTATATTTTTACTAAATTGTATTATCTTAAGTATTCTAACAAGAACTGCAAAGGAAAGAATAATCTATAAAACAAGCTATTTTAGGCTAATACATTTGTTCCTCAGAGATTATGTTTGATGGAAAAAACAAGTAGCAGCCTCTAAAATCTAAAAGAACCTGACCTTCATGATCTGAAGGACGAAAAGGACAAAAAAAAAACCCACCAACTTAGGAATAGCATAGCACTCCAAAACTGTTTCAGATGCCCGGAGCCTAACAAACATATGGTTTGAGGGAGCAAGCAAGTAGGTATTATGCATATATAGGCTCCAGTTCTGGGTAAGCAGCCTTATCTCTTATTTAACAAGTAGCAACATTTTGTTCCCAGGCCACGAGAAAGTCAACAAGCAGTTTTCTCCAGGGTAAGCTTAGCCCAGCCTTGGTGCTGTTCTCAAACATGAGGCTCACCCATTCTTACAGCACAACGCAGAAGATGTGCTGGGGGGAGGCGCTTACGTCCCCCGTTGCCCCCTGTAGCTATAACCAATGTCTATATCCCCATGATGCAATTCCAGAGTACAAGTGATTTATCTAGCGTAAAAGCTAATTTTTTTGGCATACAAATATTTGGCTAACTGCAAATTTTCCACGCAAAGTTCAGCGAATCAGGAGAAAACTGAAAGTGATGCTCTTTCACCAGTGATTATAAACTTCACAGAAAACAGACACCTAGCTACGCTGGCATGCTGCGACGGGGAGGAGTAGTGAAATAGTACGTACGTTTTAAAAGCACTGTTTGAGAGGAATCCTTACAGTTTGGCCACTGTAAACCTAAGTTGAATACCTGCTTAGATGGTCTATGAACGTGCTGCTTGTTCGCTACGCTTACAAAACATGAGAATCCACAGAAATTTCAAGAGACCCTTTCTATTGCTAAATTCCAGACGTTCTCAAGGACAAAGCTGTATGGGTGCTCTAAAGATTCTCGGACACGTCAGCAGGAGACAGTGCTATGTTAACATACGCCACCATTGAGACCACTGCCCAAGAGAATTATTAAAAAGGAGCATTTAATTTCTCATAGGTGAAAGAGAATGAGCAAGTAAGCTAGTCCTGCTCTTGCTCAAGTTTAACAAAGACAAAGGTTAGTGAGCAGCATTCCTCACACAAACGTTACCCTACTCTTTTTTTCGAAAAGGGAAAATCAAGTAGATCATATCCCAAGAATAAAACAAGCTTTGCATCAAATTGTGAATCCACCTGATGCTGATGTCCACGCTCTGATCAGACCACAACCACTGAGAACCACCACATCAATCACATCAAAAAACACGTTAAGTAATGAGTACTCATCACTCTTTTTTAGTTATTAAACAACAAGGTTAAGTTTGGATTTCCTGGTTTGTGTGTGTGTTTTTAAATGCCTTTTATTACTCAGTAACTACATTTACCCTGCTTATGGACTTAGTTACAGCTGAGGGATGTTGTGCTATAACTACTTGAACATGTAGTAAGTTGAAACCTGAAAGTCAGAGGAAAGATTAAAGACCCATCTTCACAGGAAAACAGCCCCAAGCGTAAGTGCTCAGTCACACTGTAACACAAACTTAAAATATTGGATGCTGCTCTTGGCACTACACCACACTACAACAGTCTGAACACTGGAAGTTTGTAAACTCTCGATTGTATTTGGCTTTAAAAAAAAAAATATTGGTGCACTACAGGAGGCCTCTTGTCAGTCACAAGCTTGGCATTTCTAGTCTGTCTACTTAGGGAGATATAGCTTGGTTTTCATAAAAACTGATAAACAGCACAACACAGTCTTTGTCAGCTGCTAAGGGTACCAAATACTTCTTTTTGCCCATACCATTTGGAAATGTTTCATGCTTTCAAGCTGCAGTGATAGCAGCTCGATCCTTTGGAAATAAAACTTAAAACATCGCCAAGATACAATTATTAGTCACACTAGAACAACAGATAAAGATTAAGAGAGGTTGAGAAACCAACATCATTCCTTGGAGTCGTTTCCAGGTGTCATGCACTTCTGAGAAGGCTGTCTCTGTCGTACCAAGGAAGTTGTCAACCCTCCAGTTTTACATTAAAGATCACAGATAATGCATTTCAAAGTTGCATCACTTGTGGCATCAACACCTGGGTGGCATCAATAAACGACCTGGTTTCAAAACGTGGTTCGCAAATCACTAGCAAACTACTACTTCAACCGTCTCTGCAATGTTTCAAACTATAAAGTTTTGTGACGTGACTTCCTACAACCAAAATGACGTGTTGTTCAGGTTTGTGTATCAACAACGCCACCGCTCAGCACCACCTAATTTCAAGGCAATATAAAAGCAGTTGTTATGGCTATCAAGCAGCCTTTTTTTTTTTTGGTGCTCTACTTACTTATTCCTAGGTCATACTCTTCTACAAATTACGTCAGCCTACGTGAACAGATTATTTGGGAATTTGTACTGAATCAACAGATCCCACCAAGTTGGTTCCATATGGAACCTGCAACATACTCCTTCAGCATGTCTGATACAGTGATCTGTAAGCACAAAGTGCTCACTCTAACTCAAGTTCTTGGTCAGCAGGGAGACGTATTTAGTGAGGTAAATCGTGACATGACTGAAAAGCTATTTTTTTTAACTTCAGTTCCCTGAAGTGTACTAAGTGTTATTCCAGAAACGTGGGACTGTTGGATGCCCCGAAGACCTTCAGTCTGAGTTTGTGACGTAACAAAAGACTGCGGTAATAACATACTCATCTGGTGTAACCCCAATTTGAAATCCCTTTTGTAGCAGTTACTTATATTTACCCACAACTTGCAGGTGAAACAGCTTCCGAAATATTCGTGTTAAAAGTTCTACTGTAAACTGTCCAACACATACACTAAAAAAAAGTTTAGCACACATCCACAAGTTTATTTTGTTTGAGCATCGGCAGCTTCCCAGCCTGTGTGGAACTCAGACTTCCAGTACCTGAAGGGGCCTACAAGGGAGCTGGGGGGGACTTTTTACAAGGGCCTGTAGTGACAGGACAAGGGGTAACGGGTTTAAATTGAAAGTGGGGAAGTTTAGATTGGATATCAGGAAGAAATTCTTCACAGCGAGGGTGGGGAGGCACTGGACAGGTTGCCCAGAGAAGCTGTGGATGGACCATACCATCCCTGGAAATGTTCAAGGCCAGGCTGGATGAGGCTTTGAGCAACCTGGTCTAGTGGAAGGTGTCCCTGCCCATGGCAGGGGGGATGGAACTAGATGGTCTTTAAGGTCCCTTCCAACCCAAACCGTTCTGTGATTCACTCTGCAGATGTGCCCCAGTCACTGCCAAGCGTTTGAGCGCTTCTAGGAAGGGAGCAGTACATCCCAGTTTAGGAAGCTCCCATCTGACGCTGGTAACACGTCTCTGTGAAATAACCGCATGTGTTTAAGCGTGAGACTTCAGCGTTTCAAGGAAAACATGCTGAAGAGCCCAGAAACGTAACCAACTTATTTCCTATTTAACCATTTTCATCGTCAAATAAACCGCCAACAAAGATGCAGATTTTGGAAAACTTTTGCAAACCGGGTACTGTCACGCTAAAGCTTCTTCCCACACACCATCCGCTTGTTTCTGCCGCTAAAATACACGGTTACAAAAACCCACCACAAAGAGGCGTGCTTAGCAAACACCGACTATGGACCGACTTCAGTTCTGGATTGTAAAGCTGAAACAACTTTCCAACAGGCGACACGCGGGTGCGATTGCAGGAACAGGTCCGTTCCCGACAACGGGCACCAGTCAGCCTTCCCGCCTCCTGCGTGCCGCGCGCAGATCACCGTACACACGGTTACCACGGCAAGCTCAACCTGCTCTTCCGCACCACCGCGCGTATGGGGAGCTCCGCACAGGCCGTCCTCCCAGCTGGACAAGGCCCCCGCATACTTCAAATTACTTACAGCCGAGCCATCAAGTCGTTAATGAGTTTTGCCACTAACTTTACAGCCCTCCCCAAAAAACCCCAACCCAAACCCTGGTTCAGAAAGCTACTGGGGAGTCACAGCGCTGTCACACCTGGCAGTGACAAACCCATGGCAATTAAGGGCCTCGTACCTTCTGGAAAGGGGAACGCGGTGGATTGACTGCTGCGCTTTGCGGAAGAACAATTTTTTTAAAAATCAACGTTTTTGAGGAAAAATGGTAGGTTTTTTAAACATTCATTAAACTCAGGGTTATAACGTAAATGCGACCAGGCAGGCCTGGCTTTAGCTGGAGCACACAGCGCTGACTGAGGGTTGTGACCGGCCTCGCTCTTCTTCCCACGATGCCCACACCTCCCCTTCCGCCTCC